TCCGGCAGCGAGCGGCGCGGCCGCGGGGCGGTGCGAGCGGCACGCGCAGCTCCCGCCGCCTGCAGGGTGGCGCCCGCGGCTCCCGGCCGCCCCTCTGCTGCTGTAGGTGGCCGGGTTCCCCGCTCCTCGAGTTCCCCCTGCTCTTCAGGGGCTTCTCCGTGCCCCTGAGGGTGCAGAAATAACGCAGTAGTCAGGGGTGGACCGTAAGTGTTGGGTGAGAGGCCACTGACTCGCTTGTGCCCGCCTTGTAAGTGGTGATTATAATTGCAGGGCTCTAGGCAAGTGTATGGGGGCTTTAGGGTACAGGTGGGACACCACTGAGGGAAGTCTTGGGTGTCTGCTTCACAGAGGTTCTATTTTTTTTTTTTTTTTTTAAGTGATCATCAGTCTTTTTATTTTCTCTACTGCTTTTCTTAATACTTTTATACTTTCTGTTGCACTGTAATTCCCAGCCCTAGTATAAAAATCAATGGTTCTGTGTGGGTGTTTTTTTTTGTTTTGTTTTGTTTTTGTTGTTTTTTTTTTTTTTTTTTTTTTTCTTAAGCCTACTTGTAAATGCACCGAACTCCAGCAGAGATGGAGTTTTCTCCATCAGGCTGGATAGCTCTTAAATACTGGGCCCCACTTCTGTGTTATACCCGCAGTTATACAGCCTAACTGCTGGCTGTACCTTGAGATATGTGGCCTGTACAAAAATCATTCCAGGACCATTTCTTTGTTAGGACTTGTCCTGATACTCACAAATTACTTTGATGTCTTAGATGTCTTAGCATTGGTGAATGCAGTGTTGCCTAGAGGAGCAGTCCTTTTGAGGTTGTTTCCTCATCATCATCATCAKCAKCAGCATTAGGTTGTTTCCTGCTTTGAGGACAGGAGGGCAGAGAGCACAGGAGAGTATGTTACTTGTCCAGATGTGGTACATCTGCATATCTATATAGCTGTTCTGTATTGGTTTGCAGCTCCTCATCTCTTTTGAAAGCACTGGAAATTTAAAAAAAAGGCCAGAACAGTTTGCAGGCCTCAGTTTTTCAAGTCTGCTCTTAAAGTAGAGAAAAAATCCCTTTCTTYAGCCACTAACTGTAATATGTATTTATGTTCATATTAATGTATMCTGGCAACATTTCAGGAATATTTCTTTTATGTAAATATTTTTTCCACGTGCTTAAATTCCTTAAATGCTTTCTGTCAATTTGTTTTTGCATATATGATATTCAGTATTTTTTTCAGATTGTTGATATTGTTGTTGGAAAAGATGACAAAGGCAGAAAGATTCCAGAATATCTGATCCACTTTAATGGTTGGAACAGAAGGTAAGAACTTCTATGCACAGTTTAAATTCTTCCTCTATTCTGAAGAAAAAAAAAAAAAAAGGAAAACAGGAAATCAGAAGGATTTTATAATTATGCTTATGCAGATATTATTGRCTGTGTGGATGCCTTTAATATATCTATTTGTGTGGACACATCAGTTTTAATCCATACATTTTAATGGTTTAGTCTTCATATTTGGAAGTTTAAATTTTGTATGGTATTTATGTTTGGCATATATATGTGGCTAAAACAGTTTAATGTTCAGGCTCCGAGGTTTCAGTTAATTAAATATAAGGAGTTTGAAGCCTAAATTCTTTGTTAAATATGTGTTTAAGTTGCTTAATTATCAAGATCAATAGATAAATGCAACTGACTATGCTGAGTTCAAATTTGAGAGCTTTATAGTTATYCTGGGATTTGAAGCCATAAAAATACAAAAGACTACAAACCTTTGTAGTTGTAATGTATATTAATTTGCCCGTAATGGTCATTGGAATCTCTTTCTAACTGTTAGCAATTTWCCTTTGATCCCTTACTAGCTGGGAYAGGTGGGCAGCTGAAGATCATGTTCTTCGTGATACAGACGAGAATCGCAGATTACAGCGTAAACTGGCACGGAAGGCTGTGGCTCGCATGTAAGAAACCCCCTGGCACCAGGGATTCGTTTTTGGCTTCCAACAGTTATATTTAGGTGCCTGTAAGGGAGTTCAGTCTCTAAGCTGAACTGCTTAGTAGATGTCAATAGTAGCATCTTATAGGGAGCTTTTTTTTTTTTATACGAAGGTTAATATTTATATCAGAGTGCTCTCCAAAGGACTAACATATTTTATAACTACACAGTATTCTGAAGTAGTGCTGCAAAATACCTGTGTATACTGGATCTTCATCTTCTCAAAGAAATGAAAGTAGCTTAGGAAAACCTAAAGTATTTTTCAGCCAAAGGCACTAATTTAATATTTGTTGGCCGTGGTTTGAGAATGTGACTTGAGGAGTATGATGTTATGGATGGACATCAAGGTGCACACTCCCAAATAGACATTGTCCAAACTATGACAACATTTTAAAAAAAAAAAAAAAAAAGTAGACATGCATTTCCTGTATGTTTAAATGTAATGTCATTACATAAGATAACCAAACAATGTTAGCTAAATTTGTGAACTGTTTCCTCCTCTATAGGAGAAGAAAGGGAAGAAAGAAGAGACGTTGCAGGTTGCCTGGTGTTGACTCTGTATTAAAAAGCCTTCCCGCTGAGGAAAATGAAGAGAGTAGTGAAAACTGTGAGCTTATTTTTATTCTTTGTGATTTACTGTCATGATGTCCTTAATTTCTTAAGCTGAGGGTGTAGTGAGTGCTCTAACCTGCTATTAGGTTTATACAGGAATATCCCAGTCCTGTTTTAAATCCACTGAGGCAGTGGTATAATAAGTGAATGAATGTATTTTGTTTCTTGCTATGCAACTATTTCTTGTGCTGTTTCTTCTTGTGCTTCAGAGGCTTTTGCTTTTCCCTGCCATTTCTGCTGCACTAGTCTAATCAGTGACTTTGGAATTTAATGCTGCTTTGTTTAGTGTGATATTTCCAAGTATGAGGTTCTTTTTGGTGGTAGGAAACAGGGTATTTTGCTTGCTAGAGCTTCTGTGTATRTTTTGAAAAAGTCATTTTCTCCAGTCTGGCTGGAAGGTGTGTTTCTTGTTAGCTGGTTGGTGTTGCTGACTTCACTTCTAAGCCACTTTCTTGATTGTTTGTTTTTTATAGCATTTTTCTTTTGCACTTTGAAAGGCAGAAGGAAGATTGGTCCTGAACTGATGTTCTGGCAGCTGATGCTGCAGAAATTCAGCCATTAATCCCCTATTCACAATTGAAATCCAATAAAAATARAAAAGATCTGTTGGTATTCAAAAGTCCAGGGAGTTTTCTAGAGCAATGTGTTTTTTTGTCAATTGGAGGCAGTACAAGAATGCTTCCTGTCAGCTTCTCTTGTTTGRCATTTAAGTGTTTACTGTGTGCTGTCAATATAATTTGCCTGGCTAATTTTAATTATTATCAAGGTGGTTAGTTTTTGAACTTAGGCCTGTAATGATTTGATCTAGTCGCTGCATCTCTGCAACGTAATATGAGATAAATATGTAAAATACCTCTTTTATACAGCTATAAGTAGTTCTTCTTCTGATGACAGTGATGATGGAACAGATGAAGAAATAAAAAGTGAAGAAAGTGACATTGACGAGAGGACCGAAATGGTATACTTATGCATTCCTTAATATTTAAGACTCAGTTTGAAACTGTGGGAAATTTGAAATGGTTGAAGTTTAGGCCACAGTGTATATTTCAGTATATAGCTGGATTGAACCTGCATAATTTGCTTACTCTTAATAACTACTTGATGTAATTGAGATTTGGAAAAGCAGATAAGATGTCTTGTTCCTGCAGAGTTCTTCAGTAATAATCCCAAATTACAAATTTGTTCATTTTCTTCTCTTTTTACACATGAGGCGTATTAGCAAACTATTACTCATATTTATGGGTTCTGCAAAATTTTGCTCATCTGGTCASATTGGGAAATCCTAATAGCAGGTAGGATCTTTCTGGGTTTTGAAGTTATTTACTGTGAATAATTGAACTCTCAAATTCAGATTTGGAAGGTAATTGCTTCTTTTAATGCATCAATATAATGAAGCAGAAAACAATTGCTCTGGAAGGTCTGTTGAATTTAAGCACTAAGTTCAGTTGATCTTCAGTGGCAGAACCGATTTCTAGTTCTTTTGTGTTGAATACTTGAGCAAAAAAAGCAAATAAAAATAGCCTTAAAGTCTAAATTTGCTATTTTTCTGAAAGCAGTGTTTTTGGTTATTTGCAGTGAAACTATTGTTTAAATATTTACTGTATTGTAAAAATAATAAATTTTATTTTGTTGTTCTGTTCTGACCATTGACGCTTTCCTTGATATTAATAAGCACAACCAATACTGTTTTTATGCTCTCTTGTAGAAAGAAGAACAAGAGAGTCACACAAAAAGGGACATGGAGGAAAGAGCAATAAACATTGAAATTCCTGAAGTCTTGAAAAAGAAGCTTGAAGAAGACTGTTATTACATTAACAGAAGGAAACGGGTATAAAATAGTAGCTATGAAACAAATGTGCATAGAGGTGTCAAATTTTCTTAAATATAACTCCTGATTTATTTATATATATATATATCTATATTATGTAAAACCCTAATATTCAGTGCAAAGCTGATCTCAGAATATAAGGAAGAAAAATGAGTTAAGAGTATAGGGAGCAGACACTCAATAGCTGAAACAGTGAGTTGTCCTTGTGTTTGAGGATGTGAAGATTGTGGTACTTAATTGTGTTTTAGAGTGCAGGTTGTTCTTTAAAGCTTGAAATATAGCAAACTAGTCACCTTGACCATATTTTTCTCTCCAGATGTTCATAAAGGATTGATCAGAAATGTAGTTTTAAGGATTGACTGAAACATTCCTGAAAGAAATTCATTCAGTGTGATTTACTCAATAAACTAGTCAATATAGTAGAAGCTCATATTGTAGTTTGTTTTACTTAGGTTATGTTTCTCTTTCAGCTAGTGAAGCTTCCTTGTCAGACAAATATAATAACCATCCTGGAGTCATACGTGAAGCACTTTGCTATTAATGCTGCTTTTTCAGCCAACGAAAGATCTCGGCACCATCAAATGACTCCGCATGCCAATATGAACCTACATTACGTGCCACCAGAGAAGAAGTAAGTGGTCTGTAGTGCAGTACTCTTGTCATAAGAAAATGAATTCTTTCAAACAGGGCCTTTTTTAAGGCTGTTCAGTTCTGTGAACTTACTTTCATGTATGTTCATGTATAGGCTTTAAAATACTTGATAAATATTTAAAGTACAGTAGTAGCATCAATTCTTTTATTGTTGAAAGAGTCCCTAAATATGTGCAAGAATCAATATCCCCTTTTGTCACTTGAATTTCYGTAAATATTGTGACCTGTTCTGGAAGAACTTATTGCTTCCGTGTATGTTGAGAGTTGATTTAGATCACTGAAAGTGTTGCCGATGTGAGAATTTCCCTGTTGAAATAAAACTTAAATATGTTCAGTTCATAGTTTCATTCATAAAAATAAATATTTTTATGAGCACTGCAAGTAAAGAGTCGCAGTGGGAGGTATGTAGGTTTTTTTATGACAAATATCTTAAATCCTACAGTCAATATGTAGGAAAACTGAATGCTTTCAGTAGCACCACTCTTGTTAGTTGAAAACCTTTCTTACTGCGTTTTGTTTGATGTTTTTTGGACTGTGTAGACTTCTACAGTGTTCCACTCAGGACTGCGAACTTAGCTATGTGGCTGCAGTCTGAATTTTAGGTGAAGATTCCAAATAATGAATAGACTAGATTGCTCTTAATCTAAATCTATGTGGGTTGCAATCTGACGTTTTATAAAGTAAGTTGTAATTTCTGTTACCACTTTCTACTTTAGATTTTCCCTGTTATGCCTTATAATATCTTAATTTGTGCAAATGTTTCAGTTTATATTGATGTCATTTTTTATGTTAAGAATATTTCTTCCTTTGCAATGTAATTTCCCAAACAAGCTAGATGAGACATCAGAAGTATTCACATAATCACATGTATATCATCCTTTTAGAATGTAAATATTACTGTGAGGAAGGTGTTTTATTAGAGAACATGTTCCTAATTTTGGTGATGGGACTATAGATGGGAGAGACTGTGGTGACCCATACATTGTAATTGTCCTTAAATATGGAATTTCTGCATATGATCTTCCTAACAGAATTTAGATTAAAAACGAAGTTGTAAAATACTGTTTGAGCTTATTAAGCAAGCATGGTTTGCATAGTAAAAAGTTATCAATGACAATTGCTGTCTTTAAAAATGTTTTTTAATTGCTTACCATTTCATATTGGTGAAATCGGCACATATATAATAGTTAATACCTTAATCTGTTTTTAAGGGGAATTTCCCAGGATTGCACTGAAAAATGTTAATGCAGCTTTGAACTTCATAATCTTAGAACAGCTCTTTTTTTTCTTTTCTCCTTCCATCTGCTAGTGTTGAGCTATGTAAAGAGATGGTGGATGGGCTGCGAATAACCTTTGACTTCACACTTCCCTTGATTTTGCTCTATCCTTATGAACAAGCCCAATTTAAGAAGGTGACATCATCCAAGTTCTTTCTCCCAATCAAAGAAAATTCAACCAACACTAACAGGTAGGTTGGATATAATTAGTTTAATCTCACTTAGCTCATGCAGACAATGCAGTTAAACAAGGTTTCATGTTTACAGAAAGTTTCAGCATTTTGTAAAAATTCCTTTTATTGGGATGACTCACAAATGAGAGGGTACTGATTGGCATGAATTTATCTTGTAAATTTGTGAAAATTATAAATGGATGCATTTGTTTTCATATGTAAAATGTCTGCTTTGGGGGAAAATAACATCTTAATCTAAGTCTTGAAGGTTTCATGACTTTTCCAGCTTCTTGGGAGGAGAGTAATTTGAACAGGCATTTAACAAAATCTGTGGAACTGGAAAGATCTTTTGGGGCACAGCCGTGAACTTCTCACTTTGGCAAAGTTGCCTTGMTTTCCTAGGAGCCAGGAGGAGCTTTCCCCAAGCCCTCCTCTTCTGAACCCCCCAACGCCGCAGTCCACGGACAGCCAGCCCACGACCGGGGAGCCGGCGACGCCGAAACGGCGGAAAGCGGAGCCCGAGGTCCTGCAGTCGCTGAGACGCTCCACCCGCCACAGCTCCAACTGCGACCGCCTCTCGGAGAGCAGCGCCTCCCCGCAGCCCAAGCGGCGGCACCTGGAGACGCCGGCTTCCATGCCCAAGCTCTTCCTGCACCTGGAGAAAAGTGCGTTGGGGTATTAGAACTGCTACTTTGCTTATTTTTCACGGTACGCCCTGTGTATGCGGTGCGTATTGTTGTCTTGCTTTTTAAAAGCCTATTTGGATTGTGAACTGAATGGCTAAAGTGGACAATTGGTACTTTGTTTCAAATACTTAGCAATTTTATGCACAAGGGGAAAAAAMCCAGTTTTCGAGTAGGTTTTTTGTAGTGTTATTCTGGATAGAAGTCAAGAAGCTGCTTTTCTATGAGTCTACTTTTGGAATGCCTTTTTTAAAATGTCAGTGTTTACTGCTAAATGTTCTAGCAGGAGTGCTTGGTTACCTTTAATACTTTATTTAAGMATTTGTTTTATTTAACTGTAAAACATAAAACATTCAACTATATTTTATTCCAATTTTTTTAGTTATATTTTTGCTTCCCTTTTCAGAAACCCCTGTCCACAGTGGATCATCTTCACCTATCACTTTGACCCCTAGCAAAGAGGGGAGTGCGGTTTTTACTGGCTTTGAAGGTAGAAGAAACAATGAATTGAATGAGGTAACAGCTTTTTATATTGCTGTCCTAGACTTCAGAGTTGGGCTRTGTTAAAGATGCTTCATATGCTTAGTGGTTAAATCATCGGTTTCTAAAGTTCTGTTCAGACTTTTTATGAAGCTACAGTGATGTTGTAACAAGAATTTTCATGCTTTGTATCCAGGTTTTGTCATGGAAACTGATGCCAGAGAATTACCCACCAAGTGATCAGCCACCACCTCCTTCATATATCTACGGGTCTCAACACTTGCTACGAATGTTTGGTAAACATATGCAAAACCCGGTGGTGAATCAAAAATACTCTAATTGTTCTAATTTCTTTTCAGTGAAAACATTCTTTTCTGTGACTTTTCTGTTTGTGTTTTTTTTGAGAAATACACTCAGTCTTTTTGAAACTTTTAGCTATGTTTGTGAACAGCGTTCTGTCTTTTCCTGGCTCTTGCAAGCAAGTCTTACTTCCAGTACAAAATCAAATGTTAGTAAGCTGAATAGCATTAACTTTCTCAGCATTAACCTTCTTAATGTGGTTGTTAAGGCAGTAAGATGTTGAACAATCACTAACTCAAATCAAAAAGTGGAGACTGCAGTGATATTCATGTACTCTTTCCTGTGTAGTGGTTAAAAGTAACTAGGAGTTGCTTTAAAAAACTGACATTATTTTTTATTTTTTTTTATTTTTTGCAGTAAAACTACCAGAAATATTGGGGAAGATGTGCTTTCCTGAAAAAAACCTAAAAGTGTTAGTAAAACACTTTGAAATGTTCCTAAGGTAATTTTACACAGTCTACCACAGTAATGATTGCACTGTTACATGGCTCTATGTTCTGGAATGACATGTTTTTTTTTTTTTTAAAGATAGTCATTTTATGTAACTACAAGAATGTGGTAAAGCAAATATGATAAAATGTTAAGGCTAAGCTGCTTCTGTAATTCAGCTTGAAGAGAAGCTGTTTTCTCAAAGTTTTAGACACAGAGTGATACAAAACTGAAGAGTTAAACCTTGTCTAGTATGTGTTAGAATGGCCTGTCTTGACTTAGCCAAGCATCATATTTATTAGAAATGTAACCTGCACTCATGAGAGCATCATCTTAGCATATTGATGTCACACAGTTAAGAGAGGGAAAAACCTGTTGTTTAGAACCTCTTGTTAATCGTGTTAGCCTTGTAAAGAAAGACGGTAGGTTGTCCTGGCTGAGTGGTAAACCAGTGGGCTCCTCTGGTGCGGAAAACGGTCACTTGGAGTGACACCCACACTGTTTCTGACCACAGTAGCTCTAGTTGGAGAGAGGAGTATCATTTGCACCAGGATCAGCTTTTGTTCTTCAGGTACTCTGGTTTCGTATCTCTGCATGACACTGCAATGCTAGGTCAAATCATGAGCATGGCATTGTGCCATGCTCATCAACACAGTCAGAACAGTTTGCTAGGAAAAARCTTCTAGAAAGACCATGTTGAACATGTACCTGTTTGGAACTAATTTGCAAATTCCAAGAGAGTTTTGGCTCAATCAGAATATCAGTGTGTTAAAATTGTGTGGCACTATCCCATCAGAAGCCCTSTTTAAAAGAGGTAGACTAATACTTCATATGCTATAAGAGTTTATTGAAAACGAGAAGTTTCAAGTGTTTAAGACTGCAAACCAAACTTCCACTTGAAGCATGTCATTTTCAAGCTTTCCTCATTAATTTTCCTTGTTTCTCTTTTGTCAGACTGTTACTATTCAGAATGTCCTTGTCAAGTATGACAGCATTGGCACTTATGGTTGGAAACCAGAAACGGGTTATTTTTGTTTGGAGTGAATGTTATTCAGGATGCTAAGGTCATTCTATTGCAGAATCTATGAGTTGGATTCTGTTTGTGTTAAYGCTTCACTAGAAAGTGCTCTGGTGCTAAGAGGCAGTTGAACCTGGAGACCTTATGTCTTAAGACCAGACAAAAACTAAACCAGAACTAGTGCTCAAAATATCCATGTTATTATTGGTGTATTACTGCTGTATACAGCTGTATTACTGCTGTGTAGCAAGTATAGTGTGGATATTGTGTAGCTGGTACAAAGGGATTTGTTTATATATASTTTCTCTTGTCCTGTCTTAATTGCTGTTATATGCACACAGCTATTATCTTGTATGCAGCTCCTCAGGTTAGAACTGAGAAGCACTGACACATCAGTCTTGCACCTAAAAATGCAACGAAGCCTTGACAGACTGTTCTCTGCTCTTTGATTATGAGCCTTTAATCCTCCTGCATCTGGCTGCYGCAGACTTTTAAACAAAAATGTCAAAGGGCTGTATTTTTCTTTTCTCCCTTAAGTGCCTTTTAAGCAAATGTCATATTTGTTTTGTGATGCCATTTATTGTTYGTTTTCCATGATGAAGTCATTATTTCTGCAGTTGTGTCAGATGGGGCAGAGCTGTTGTCAGATTGGGCAGCTTTATCAAGATTGTTCTCAATTACAATTACTGATGCTGAAAGCATTCAAGATTATGTAGCTTTGTCACAAATATTCTTAAACTAATTTCCTTGGCAGGTGCAGATATGGTACTGCMTATTTAAATAGTGTACCCAGAAGCTAATGCAACTTTATGTATTTTTATTGAGCTACTGTTTAGGATGCTTGGGACATCTTTCACTTTTTTTCCACTCCCTGTTCCATGTGCTATTGAAAGTGCTCAGACAACTACATGTTCTAGAAACTTGTCCAGGCTTCGTCACAGAAATACTTCTGTATATAAGAGAACATTTGAGATTGAAGTGACATTTTGCACTATTTTTTTCCCCTCACCATTTTTGCATTCTCTCTCCTTTTTCATAAATGAAAGGATTAGTGGTTGTTCATTAAGAATTATCTTCTCTCATTCTGYTCTGCCTCTTTGGGAGGTAAGAACTGTCTTACACAGTCTGCCTGCGTTACGTAGCTGCTAGGTTGAGAGCAGGAAATTACACAGTTTGGTGTGACAAGCTGGAGTGCTTTTCCTTTATTCCTTATTTTTTCTTTCCAATAGCCGAAAAGGGATTGAAGCTGTCTGTTCATATTAATAACAATGTTTATGAATCCTTTTTGAATTCTAGCTAAAATAGACCAAGCCTAAGCAGTTTACCTTTTTTACGATAATTTAATGTGGTATACAGAGTTGATAGCATTTTCTCAGAGATACTGATCTAATTTTGATTTTGGACTTAYGATTATACAGCTTAAATTTACAGTTTCATTTAACGTTTGCACTATTAGTCTCTTGTGGACTGAGAAGCTGAGACTTATTTAATATACTACTTTGTCTGGAAGCTTGTTTTATTGAGTTTACTCAGAACTCGGTAGATGCATTAAATTCACTTTGGGTAATATTCTTCAGTCATGGCTTGGATTGCTGCTAGACATTATTGATCTTAATTTTCCAGACAACATTTTTTTTCAGAGTTATGAAATACATCTTTTAAGTTTCATATTAGATTAAAACTTTCATCATTTGTGCTTAGTGTAGTATTCTACAAATATGGTTAATGAGAATATCTTCAAAGGAAAAATAAAAATAGAGAAGTTGATTTTTTTTTCTTGAAGAAATTCTTATGACAGAATTTGTAGAACTAAAGAAAATTATTTTTTCCATTTATGAAGCTCCTAGTCTTCACTTGAAACTAATCATTCTGAAACAATTCGGAAAACCAGTAGAAAAATAATAGTCTGAAATGGAATTCAATGGCCAACTTGCCAATTGTTTTCACTGAATCTGACTTGCAGTTGGAATTTAGTCTTCAGGAGTGAACGGTGGGAGCAGTGCAGTAGCTATTCTCATTCAGGTTCCTTCATTTAGCAGTTCTTTACTAGCCAGGGCACCTGACTAAATTTTGATGCCAGTTACGAGGTTTTGTTGGAAAGTAAGTACTGCCTTTTAAACTACGTAATTTCAGCGTATTTCTAATAAAGTGTTACATCTGCTGTACAATATATTCCCCTTTTCTATTGATTTAAACATATAAACCGTAACTGGGAAAACTCTAGAGATCACAGAGGTCACTTCTCAGGGCTGTTGGACCAGTAAGAGATACTTAAGGCTCGTATATCATCTACGATGTTTTTAGGTCYGTCTTCACTGAGGTGTATCTTCAATATAGCCTTCACTTAAAAGAAGAAAACCTTTATWGCTCTCCAGAAAGTCAGTTATTTTCTTTATTTGGGAATGGAGAAGAATGGAGATCAGCTATGTTCCTAAAATGCTGCTTTTTAATTTTCTGATACTTATCCTGATGTGGCCTACACTTAGCTTTCCAGATCTAGAAAAAGTACATTTTTAAGTGTCAAAGATACCTGTTTTGATGCAATACACTCGGTATACCTGTAAATTGTTTTCTTATTATTTTTGATTCTTAAAATTTTTATTTGTTTTATAACCTGCTTATATCTATTATGCTAATCTGCTCCATGGTCAAAATACTTGAATGCTGCCTTGAATATTCTCCTTAGGAGGGAGCCAGATTAGTATGCGACAAAATACAGAAGGTTGTGATGATAAAATATGGATTAAAAAGATGACARGTTTTTTGAAGTAACTTTAAGAAGTAGATCCTCTGGTTTCAAAAGCTCAACATTTTTTCAGTGTAGTAATTTTATTATATGTATTGCAGTGGTGAATTATCACCGCTAGTCTGTGCTCATGTGCAGTTAATGAGCGGTTTAGTGGTTTTCTGAGAATGGGACATTCCTCACAGTGAATGGAGGAGTTGGAAACATGTTTAAATTTGGTTGCTCTTGAGTTTCATCTTATTCTGATTCAGTTAGCTGTCACCTTACAATATTGTTAAAACTGCCATTTGCAAGCTCGCAAGGAACCTCGTACTGCYGTTGTTGCTTTCCATGTTCAATAGCACTTTTCTATTTGCCTCTCCATTTTGAGGTTAACCTGTTACTTGACAAAACCTACCTATGCAGTATACAGTTCTGGCATACTACAAAAGTCTATTGAGTTTCAGCCTAAAAATGACAGAATTGTGACAGAATCGAGATTCTTAGGGTGATAATTATATACAGATTTGAAAGAGTTCCTTCCTTCTAACTCTGATGCTTTAAAACACTTTGCGAAGAAGGAATTTGGCTTGTGCAGTGAATATATGTTTCTTATTTCAGACCAAGAGTTAACCTTTGCATCACTGAGTGAATAGAGGTGTAACTGCCAGTGTGGTTCCTTTGAAGTATTGGGCATGTTTAAAAGCTCCCTAGTCTGTGAAGCTCTCAGCACATTGAGAGCACATAGGTTGTGACTTTAAGTAGGTTTTCATGCTGCCTCCTTTGGCCTGTGGAATTTGCAGGTGACTGCTCCTCTTGACTAAGGTTTGAATGCTTTGCCAGAAACTCTTTGGAGCTGTTCCATGTGCGTTGTTGCTTTTCCTCTTGCTTACTCCATCATCAACTCTCTCCATATTTGAATGAGGAGCCTATTTCTAGTCGTAACAGTATGGATTATGTAATCCAGTAAAAAGAGAGCATCTCCAATATACTATAAGTTTCTTGTGGTATGTTTAAGAAGCTCATCTAAGAATCAGTTCTGGGATCTGRGCTGACCTTGCCATGAATGGATACTTGTTCTCAAGACCTGCCATCAAGACCTGCCAAGGATTCAGCTATTGGGTCCTGCAGGACTTTATTCTGAAGAGGTCTGCTAGGACTGCAACCTTTATTTTTTTTATTTTTTTTCCCCTAATACAGCCTCATTATTATGATTCTTGGAGAAAACTGCAAACACATGGAACTTTTCGTGTTCAGTTGCCTCCATTGTGGTTATGATGATATTGGGGTTCTTGCCATGAACATGCTTCCAGATGGAGACCTGCTTAAGCAATTGGTTAGGGCAGATGTTGGCGTGCACCTTTTCTTTGTGATGCTGTCTCTAGTGGCTGTGAAATACTGATTTTAGTAGTAGTCTCTAAGAGGAGACAGATCCTTCCTTTGTAAATGAAACTCTGAGGTCACCCATCATGTCAGGACCCAGTGTGCTCTCTCAGCCAGTTCTAGGGCAGATCATTAAGGAGGTCATTACAGGTGGCTTTCAAACCAACAACAAGCCAGGACCAGTGATCTCCTTGGAGTATCTGCCTGCTTTCTAGAACTCAGGGTGGTGGTGAAAGCATGGGCAATGTTACCTTCTTAGACATGCTTCCTTTTCTCTGTATTAGCACACCTACAGCTGAGACTGCCCTTAAGTTTCCTTTTCATAAGGTTCGTGCTTTTCAGGCAGTCCCTGGGACTCTTGATGACATGCTGATCTGCAGGAAAGCAGTTGTGTTCATGTAGAAACTGTTGAAGTAATGCCTTGTGTTGAGGCTGCCAAGGCAAAGACCTTTCACTACGAGATGCTGCTCTTTGAGCTCATGTGAATTCAGTGACTTTGCTGAGAAACGTTTGTTCTTACCTATGTTTGACAAATGGGCTTTTAATGTGGATGAAGATAGTTCTGCRCCCTTTTCTTGCCAGATCTGACTGTGTAACTCGCAGCCAGTCATATATGTGAGACTACTGCTTGGAGCCTGAGATAAGCTTGCTCATGAACTGCCACTTGAAGATCACTTGGACTGTAATTGCTCAAGCTAGGTGGCCCAAGTGTTTCCTTGCTTCCCATCTCCGTTCCTTACTCCTTCCCGAAGTGTTGTATGGCCTTTCTACAAGTATGTGGTGGAGAGAGCGATGAAATTTTGATAGGTGCATTAGGCCTTGGACCTCTTGTGCTCTGAGAAAGAGGATGAAGCTTGAGTATTCTTTATCTGGATGCTTCTAGAGAGGGCAAAAAAATGCCGTATTGTATTAGGTTGCATGTGTGGACMGTATGCCCTAAAGACCTTGATTACTGATAAACAGTCCCTTTTTCTTAAGAGAAAAACGGTTTGTGTAAGCACAAGCTCGACAAAAAGCATAAGAGTGTGAAAAGCAATAATGTAATAGATAACTGAATAATTATGAGGAGTAATGAAAACTTCTGAGTATTTAAATAGCAACATGTTCTCTGATGTTTGGCAGAATGTTGTCTGCTTGGTAAGTAGTCCAGCAACCTCTGTTTTTAAGTCCTGGCTCCTAACTTGCAGTTAGTGTCATTGATCTCTTTGTGCTGTTTCAGCTCTTCCAAAAACAAAGCATTAGTGAAATATTCAATGCCTAAGAGACATATGAGACTCCTAATGTTCCTGTGCCAGCTTCTTACACGCACATAGTTGGAAGTAGAAAGCAGCTTTGGCTTGGCTGCTGCTTTCTGCATCCATGTAGATAACTGGTTGTGACAGAAGCTGGCTGGATTTTTTTTTTTTTTTAGCCTTCTTTTTTCCTTACCTTTCTTCAGCAGAAGTCATCTGAATCTCCCTAAGTATGTCRAGTGCTTTACCTTTCATAATTGCTTTGTTATGAGCAACGAGGGGTGCATCTTTGTGCATCCACTCGGGCTTCTGCTTTTCTGAGTTGTTGCTGTGTCCAGGAGCATCCATTGAAGGATTTTCATCCTTTCATCTTGTACCGAGCTGCCATTTCCAACTGATGACCTTAAGCCAAAGTCAGGAAATTGTAATAAAAGAAGTGGGTTTCCTGTTTTATTCTTTTAAAAATACTTAGACTGCAGGTAATGGATGCCCTCTACAAGTTCCTTTGTTTTATTGCTGTTGGCTTTAAACATCCCTTTATGATCCAGCACTTGGTACTGTCTTCTAGATAACGTTATCTAGCAACACAAGGAATTTGGTCACCACCCGTAGCTTGCACTCGCTCTCTCTTAAAGTTGGAATATTYTTTAAATGAAGGGCCTCTTAATTTTTGTGGCTCATTTCAATTTTATGCAATCTGAATATGTTAAAAGTTAGACTCAAATCTGTTAAGTTTAGCCATTATCGCACTTGCTTCATAACAACCCCAGATGACTTAAAGTGGTTTATATCTAACTGTCATGGGACTTGATGACTAGCGTTGCTTCATTCATTTAAAAGTACTGAAATTATAGCAATTTAGGAGTATTTCTTTTCTTGGAGAACATGAATGACATCTTTTTTGTAAAAAGCAGGAGGATCTGGATTAGTTTGATATGGTTTATTTTTGTATCTATATAAATCATTTTCTAAGATGTATCTCAATCTCATGAAATAAGCATTTTATCAAGAATTAGCCTGATTTCTATGCAAAGAATTAGATTATGAAGGATATTCATAACCTAAGGTAGTAACTCTCTGTATTCTTCATAGAGAGTATTAGTGTAATCTTGATGGCTCTAATACGGATATGACCTCTGTCTGGTTCAAGAAAAAAGGGGTATTTTTTTACTCTAATTTTACTGAAGTTTAGTGTGAAACTAATCTAGATTCACCACAGTCTTTTACACATCTTTTTTTTCATGAGAAGAATTGCTTCTGTTTAAATGCTGTAGTTCTGGTGAAAGAAAATTGGTATATTCAATACCAATATATATAACAGTAACATTATACTGTAGCAGTATAACAATAGCATTAAATTCATATTTTTGACTTAGAATAACTTTCAGATGTTTTTAAATACGACCTCAAAAGATTAATTATGTAATTAGATGAACCTTCTTGCTTTGTGCYATTTTAACATAAAACTGGCAGCTGCTGTTGGAACCAGTGAGAAACTCACATAGGGCAGAATATTTGCCAGCACAAGAGGCTGCTGCAGCGTTTCACACACTTAGGATTTTGCAGATGAAGACTGTATTGGACTTCAATTTTTCCTTTCCTCTTGCATGTTTACTGTGATAACTCATAGTGTCAGGTTTTGGCAGAGCTAGTTGAATCCTTGCTATGAATACTAGAGTAGCTTTCCTCACCAAGTACTCGCCTCAGTTGAATACTGCCAGAAATCAGTTGAATACTGCCAGTTGAATACTGCCAGAAATCAGGTGCTTAATTAGGTCTTGTTATGGCTCATGTAATGGAGCTTTCTCAGCTTAATTCCCTAGTTCAGGTTTAAAAATAAAAACAAATGGCCATTTGWTTTTTTTCAGAAGCTATTATTTACTAGCCAGTTTACTTGCATCAAAGATGTTTGACATCAGAAACTTCCCAAGGTCCCTCTACTCTGTTAATTACTGAAAGTAACTTGTGTGAAATGAACAAGTTTAGAGGAAATGCCCTTTAAATAAGTGGCAACACACTGAAGAGTTGATTTATGCTAAAAAGCTTGTGTTTCTTACTGTTCTTAATTCTTACTATCGTAGTATATAGCTAGCTATTCCCCTTTAGCACTTACCTAATACATGTTTGCTACAAGAGTTGCAGAAGAACTTCTTTGTGTTTTTGTTCTGTAACCTTTCTGCATGAACTCAATGATTAATATATTTTTTGTTTAAATTATCTAAAGTCAGTATTCCTTGCTTTGGATTTCTTAAGATCAAGGTGTGTGCGTGGTTGAGGCAGTGTAGTGTATAGCTGAGAATAAAGTTAGAGAAACACAACATGATTTTAATCCTCTCAGCTATACAGTTCTTTTCCAGTTCAGGCCTTCAATCTTCAAATTACTGTTTCTGCAAAACTCACTGGCCTTGTAGCTTCCCATAGGTAAATCGCTTCCACAGTYGGTGACTCTCCACACGGACCAGGTTCTGCAGGAATGCTGGGAATGTGCATGTGAAAGGACAAATCAGTTACACTTACCTTAAAAGATAGCTTAAAGGTTACTGGTCATGTGATAAGACACCAGCATGCCAGTATTTCCTTTTTTAAACACAAGTGAAAATAATGTAAAGAGTTCATGACCAAGCCATCTTTGTGGTCCATGAGCAATTTTTTTCATGCTGTTTGGATCTGAGAGTGGTAGGGAAAGGCTGTTCGTCACTGCATAAAGTTAGTAGAAAGGGGGCACTATTTTTGTATGCCCAATTTCAAAGTGTAATAGTTCTTAATTTGAAATGTATGCTTTTGCTGAGCTTAAAATGATTTTTAAATAGCTTCTATTAAATGTTTTTTTCTCTTGTGTGCCTTCTTTTCAGGTTTTTAGCAGAGTACCATGATGATTTCTTTCCAGAATCTGCTTATGTAGCTGCATGTGAAGCCTATTACAGTACTAAAAATCCTCGGGCCATCTACTGAAACTCTCACTGAAGATKAAATCTTCCTGTACATAGCCCCAGTTTTGCCACATGGCGAGGAGGACAAGATGAGGAAGGAATTGAATTAGCTTCAGGAAGGAATTGAAGTAACTTTTGACGTTGACAAAATAGGAGAATCTTCTGTGATGGTTGGATTACTTAAAAAGAATGGAGAACTTCTTTATGGAGATGTATATAGACTGCTGGAGATGTATATAGACTGACTTCTGAATTGCTTAGAGAATTAAAAGCAGCTTCAGCTCCAAATGAATGAAGCTCTGCTCTGGTGCCTGCTGCCTGGGACTGCACAGAACTGGGAAGGGGAGGGAGGCAAGCACAGATTTGCATTCACAGCAGGGTGTTCTCATCAAGATGGTTGCTTCATGCCGCGTTTGGGTTTAGCTTGACCTCTCCAGCCTGAAAGATGAGAGAATCTTCACAGTTGTGTGAAGAGAAGGCRTAACTGGCATCTCTTGGGTTGTTTCCTGCAAACTTTGCTTTGTGAAACTGCCCTGGTGGAAAAGACTGCTTCATGCAAAGGCTTTGAGGAGCTGTTTGGCTAGTATGAGTGAGYCTCAGGAATGGCTCTGTTGTCTGAGTGAGACACGTGTTGTTTGCTTGGTGTTTCGCAAAGATGCCCGGAGTCCTTTCCAGGCTTCCATAGCAGGGAGAAGAGCACACCTTGCCAGGGATGCAGCATTGTGTGGCTGGAAGCGAGTTCCAGAGCCCATATTAAGAATGGATTCCTGCAAGGATGCGGACTGTCAGTGAAGTGCTGACAGTTTAACAGGCAAATATTTCTTAATAAAATACACAGTGGCTGCTGTATAAACGTGTGATTGACTGTCTAAAATGTTTGTTCTTGATTAATATTTTAATGAGTGCTTGCTAAGTGTACATAGAGAAAGAGCCTGGAGTACTGATAACATAGGAAAGTTCTTCCTGTATTGTTGCATCTTCTTAAGAAATGTCTCCTTAGACTTTTTATACACATGAGCTCTGGAAATAGGTATTTACCCAGAACTGAGTTTATCGCATTTTGTCAATGCATTCAATAGTAAAAATTAATTGAAACGTATTTATTTGTCTTGAATGCCATCAAAACCTCGTCAGTGATGGAGAACTCTGACTTCAAAAGCGTTATGTAAAGACTGACATGGAGATTTTCAGCTGAGCRGAGAACAAGACCAGGACCAAGGCTCCAGATCATAGGTTTGTGCATTGGATCACTCCTTTCTGGTTTGGAAAACATCAGGTAGAACCCTTACCAATAATCAAGAACTCAAGCTGTTCCTCCAGGAGAGCTGCAGTCTAGATGTTATGATGAACCAATTGTCAGAAGTTAATAACAAACTATGGTCTACAAAGTGAAAGCAAATCTAAAGTTTACTGTTAGTCACTGTCACTTTTGAGAGTATGCTGGTATATGAAAGCATTTGAACTGGAAAGATGAAGATTACCTTGGGTTTGGTAATAGTTGAAAATAGGAGTCTCCTTGGCTTTATGTCAAAGTTCCTCATTTAGTGGTGCTACTTGGTGTAATACCAAAAAAAAAAAAAAAAAAGCTTTAGGTTTTCCTCTGTTGGTTTTGTATCTCAGCAGAATCCAGGTACCAGAAAATCCGTGTTGAGAGGATGTTTTCATCCTAGCTTTGGGTCTGCATCTGTTAGAAACAAACCAGTCCCTGGAAATGGCCGTTCCTGCCTAATTGGACATGATTGTGGAGGGCTGCTGAAGACTTCATCCTTAATCCTTTCTGTTGCAGAAGTGTCACAGTGTGGTGAATGCCTCAAATCTTCCACTGATGGTATCTMCGCTCACAACTTGCTTTGCGTTGGGAGTCTAAACCTTATGTGTGACTGGCTGGCTGTATGAACGTGAGTTTCTGTATGTCACGGGTTCAGTGCTGTTAACATTGGTTAATAGAGTATGCTAATTCTCACAACAGTTTAAAATCTGAAGGCCCAGTTAGTGTCACCCTACTCTTGATGTAAACTTCTTGTTGGGGCGACGGGGGGAAAAAGCAGCTGCCTGGGATTCCATATTGCCAAATCCYTTGCTCTCGTGACAGCCGAGACCACTGCTCTGCAAAGTGCCAGGATCACGGTGGGTTTGTGTCTTCATTTGGGGGAGTTTTGGTTTTCGTTCTGTTTTTTACTTCTCTGTTTGTATTTGAATATTTAAGTCTAAAGTTCTCTTTAAACTCAATGGGATGTCCTGTGTAGGCTTGTCAGCTGGAGATGCTGTATGAGATATGAGTGTCCTTGACTTCCCTACTCACCATGTTCTTTGACTTCTTATTTTGTTACCTAGCTTTATTGAAGCTGAAGTAAGGACTTAMAAAGGCCTCCACCAAACTGGCAAAGAGGGGGCTTTTCACCAGTCTTAAACTGGTGCAGAGACTTGTCAGTTTAGCTCTCAAAAATTTTGTAATTCTCATAGCTTCTGAGCGGAGTAWTGAAGGCTGCATTTGGGTAGAAGTTCAGTAGTGTAATTAAATTGCTGGTGGTCTTCAAGGCCTCGAACATCCCCGGCTGAGATTTTTCGATGGGTTTCCCGTCCATCTGGGTGGGTGTCTGCAGGCTGCTGTCTGGTTTCTGTTTTGGAGCAGCCCCCATCAGTGCTTCCTAACCCCCTTCAGTCAAAAGGACAGAGATTCACTGAAGCAATGGGAAAACATTTGTGGGYGTGAGCAGCTAGGGAGCATTCCCGGGAGCAGGTTTGCGAGCAGGCCATGGAGATGGTGTCCTGCAGAGGAGCCAAGCCCGGAAAGCCATTGGGACAGTCCTGGGTTGTGCTGCCCTGCGTAGCTCGTGCGCCTCTCGCTCCACGTCTCTAAATGCAGGAGCGAGACGTGGAGAAGTGACACTAGCCTAACGGGATCGTGTCCAGGGGCTCGGCGTGCTCTCGGCTTCCCTGCAGGGCAGGAATTGCACGAGCCGGAAGGCGGCCCCGCCGCCTCGGCAGCTCCCAGCCGCACACAGACTCCCAACAGCGGCTCGCGAGAGCCACCCCTTGCAGCGCGCGGCCGATGCCGCGGGGTGACACGAGCAACACAGCGTGCCGCAAATACACGGAGCGGCCGGGGCTGGAAGCGCCCTCGCGTGACCAAAGAAACTTGAACAACATGGAGCAACTTTTAATACGGTTCAGCCCTGCTGCTRATTTCCAGCTTTGCTTTTAAGCCTGTTATGCATCATAAATATGCTGTTCTTTCACGGGCACCATCTGCCGCTAACACGTTGCGTTCCGTTGCTGCGTTGATGCTCTCTCTGAGCTTTGTTCACCATCTAATTTTTATTCCAAAGCTCAGGCGTCTTCATACAACTGTAATGGGCATCTCAGTATCCAGGTGATATTTTAAATATGTTCTGTGTCTGTTTTCAAAGAAATGTAATGCAAATTACAGGCAAATTTGGGGGTTTATTTTGCAGTTGGTGTGGGCTAACAGCATTGGTAGGGTAAAGCTGTCGTGACTGAGCTGCTCGCTGTGAACTTGTCAGATAGTAACGCAGAGTGACCTGACTTGGAATTATATTAGAGGAAAGCCTTCTGTCAAAGGAGGAAACGAAAGTCTTACTGGGAATAAAATAAAATTAAAAATTTTTTTTAAAAAAAACCCTCTTGCTGTTCTTCATGTTTGCATCTCAGAAGTTTTATCCAGGCATTTAAGAAAAACAGTGGGAGAAGGGGGTTAACAATAACATAAAACTCCCTTTTTTGGGAAATTGTYCCTTGGCCCATTGGTGTCTGTAGAGTCCCCCAACTGTTCATGTACTGAGCGGGAATTACAAGCCTCTTGGGGAGGAAAAAGGGACATGGAGTGTGGTGGTGGTGACAAACCAAGTCAYGTTATTTACTTTTCTGTGTAAATATATACCAGTGTAATGGGCATCCCAAGAACAACGGCATTTGATGTGTGTTATTTTTTCACGCATTTGACTGCAAGCAATGCAGTCTAGATGTGTTTACATTTTTTTTTTTCCACTAGTTTTTGAAACTGGCTTTGGAGGGATTTCCGGCCCCTTGTTCAACCGCCCCATTCTCTTCATGAGGTCAGCAGATAACAGTGCTAGGCCTCTACAGCCACAAGTATTGATGTGGTGTTTCTGCCACTATTTTGATTTTTTTTCCCCCCCCCCCTTTAAGCTTGACATACATTTTGCCKTGGGGAAGGTGCTCTCAGCAGTGGCTGAGTGACAGATGCGGATGCTTATTAGGATCTAACTTGGCCCAGCCTCCCTGTTACATTATGTATTTTTCCCTCCTAATACATGTAGCAGCTGAACTGGGGCCAGCAGAATAAAAGCAGTGGAGCACAAGCCTCTGCTCAACGGGGACAAAGGAACTTAGCAAGAGGAAGACGAGGGAAAATGTTAGTGCACTGCTGAATGGGGAAGGDGCCKTGGTGAYGGAGGATGCCGAGAAGGCAGAGTTACTAAATGCCTTCTTTGCCTCTGTCTTTACTGCTAAGACGACCCCCCATGAACTGCAGGGCACAAAGGGAAGAGATGTAAATGGGCTAGAAGAAGACCT